TTTTTCCATTGGATGTTCTTTCCTGCTTTGTCAAAGATTAGTTGGCCATACGTTTGTGGGTCTAGTTCTGGGGTTTCTATTCTATTCCATTGGTCTATGTGTCTGTTTTTGTGCCATGTTGTTTTGTTTTTAAGTAGCCATTCTAATGGATGTGACATGGTATCTCATTGTGGCTTTTTTTTGCCCTATGATTATTGACGTTGAACATCTTATGTGCTTGTTGGACAGCTAGGTCTTATTAAAAGAAACATCAAGTGTTCTTTGTTCAATATTTATTTGTTCTATATTTGAGTCCTTTGGTCGTTTTTAAATTAGGCTGTCGGTCATGTTGTGGATTGCACTGCTTTTTAAAAGCTTGAAAACCATGACTTGCTGGGCCAGGTAAACCAATAAGCACTTGCTGCATACCAGGAACTAGATGCTGAGGATTTCTCAAGGAATAAACTTGACTAGAATCCTTACCTTCGTGGAACTTACATCCATTGAAGGAGACAAACAGTACAATGTATCCCATGGCAGATAACAAATGCTATGGAGAAAAGCAAAGCAGAGATGCAGGAATACAGGAAGCGTGAGGTGCATGGGTGGTTAAAGAAGGTGCCACTGAGGTGACGTTTGGGCACAGACTGAAAAGTGCAGTTACTTGGAGGAAGAGCTTTCTGACATTCTAGACACCTGCAAGGCCCCTGAGGCAGGAATAGGCCTGGTGTTCTCCAGAATCACCAAGGAGGCTCACGTGGCTAGAGTAGAGAGAATGAAGTCTGGGTTGCAGGAAATGTCAGAAAGGCGATGAGAATGGGGGGAGGGGATCCTCCAGTAGGACTTTGAAGGCCATTATCAGGACTTGAGTTTCTACTCTGAATGAACTATTTGCTAGCAGGGCACACCAGCCATACTGCTTACAAGAAGCCATTTAGAAGACATCCCTTAACTCAAATATGGTGGCACGTAGAAAAGATATTGATAGCATAGGGTGCAGGACGAATCCCCTGCAGGAGACCAGGTGGATCCGCCCCTCGTTGCCTGTGAGTCTGTTCCTTTACCTACCGAACATGTCTTGAGCACTGAGTCTGCCTTGGGGATTAGGAGGTGAACCCAGTGAGGTTCCAGTCCTCCTGGAGCTGAGCTGAGGAGGGAGAAAGAGTCACTAACCAGCAGCAACTCAATGCAGTGAGTTTTAAGAGAAAGATTTAAAAAATCCAGGTTATATGGAAGCCTAACTCAGGTGGGTTACCAGTGGTTTCGGAAACAACAGAGGAGAAGGAATGGGTCAGTTGAGGGATGCTTCCTGGAGAAAGTGACATTTGAGCTGTCGTTTAAGAAAGTGAATACGAATTGACCAAGCAAATACGAGAAAGGGGAGATTTCGACAGGGAACATGCATATGCAAAGACAGGTTGGCACGAGAGCACATGATGCATGTCTTCTAGTGTCCTGAGGCACCTGTGATCATTTGGAGGGTGATAAGACAGAAACAACAAGCAGGGTTCATACACAAGAGCCATTTAATGCCCTAATAAGCTGGAATTTGAACCAAATGACATTAGACAAGGGTATGATGGAATCAAGACCATGAGGGCAGTGCGAAGGCTGACTTGGGAAGGCTCAGGAGCAAACCTGGGACACTGAGGAGACTGGCTCATGCAGAAACGTGAGGGAGAAATGATGAAAGCTTGAAATAAGGCTGTGATTGGAGCAAGGGGCAGGCTCAGAAGAGATAAGGTGAGACATGCAGTAGATAGGACCAGATGACCTAGTGCATGGGGCAGGGAGGAGGTGAGATGCCAGGTTTCAGCCACTGGGTGCTGGTCCTTGAAGATGAAGCTCTGGGTCGGGCACAGGTTGGAAGGTGAGGGGGTGGGCAGAAATGGTGAGTTCTGGGTATTCTAAACTTCCAGGTAGAAGTGTTTTGTAGGGAGTTAGAAATAAAGGTTTGGAGCTCAGGAGCATATCCTAGGGAGGCTTAGATTTTAGGAATTTCCACCCCAAAGAAGTTTCAAGAAGACGGGAGCCCCAGTGAGGTTCAGTAGCTCTGCCATGGGCGCAGAGAGATAAGATAGGGCCAAGAACGATAAGGATGAAAAAAATGGGTAAATATCATTGGAAGCAAGAAGTGGGACAACCGGATAAATGATGGCATCATTATTTCAGGTGCAGAGAGTTGACAGGCATTGAGGGTGACAAAAGGAAGACACATGGGCTTTCTGTAGCATGTGATGCGT